AAAAATAACGTAAATATTAGTAATTTAAATAAATTAATTAACGTTAATGCATAAAAATAAATATAATTTTTATATAAATTTTATAATAATGTTTGTCAACTAATATATTGTTCAAAATGTCTACTCATTTATTTAGTATAAAAAGCATTCCAGAAAATAAAATAAAATAAATTGTATAATTTATCAAAATTATTTTCAATGATTTAACATGCATAAATATCAATCATGTATAATCTAGTATCTGATAAAAATTTAACCATGCATAATAAATATACCAATCAATGATCAATTTGTATAAATATAAAATTACTTGATTTTTCGTTAACGAGAATATTGCTTACAATTTTTTATAATTTTAATAATATTGATTTCTCGTCGTTTAAACATATTTTATGTTCATCTATGTCTTTTTCATATGTAAAAATTAAAAAAACAGAAACAAAGTTTAAAAATTTTCTTATTTCTAATTTTTGTAAAATTATTTATTATCAATATTAATATATCTTTATGTATTAGAATGTAGAAGAAATATATAATTAAACGCATAAACTCTGCTTATGTCTGACGATTAAAATATTAATTCGACAGAATATTTATGCGTGCGAAAAGTCACATGTCGCATAACACGCCTTTTCAATAGACACAATATCTATCGTATAAAGGTGTTATTCACGCGGATAACAATCGCAAGGATTATAGTTACATTATTTACGTTTGCTAGATGGAGTGCAAACGAAAGAATGCCGTATCGATGCTACGTGACGACGAACGTTGCATTTTTAACTGATCGCGCGACTATCTTTCCGTTGCATGCGACGGAAACTTGGACAAACGTGTGAATAAAATGTAGATCATATAAATAATCCAAAAGAGACCGTCTGAGGCGTGTCGATGCTTATTGCAAATTTAGCGTGCAAGTTGATGTTGATACTTTTGTGCATGAACATGTGCATGAACACAGTCGCAGATTTACACGTTATGACAATCTCTAGTCTCGTGTTATTATTTCCGGAAATTGATTCACGCATATTAGATTAATTAATAAATATTTCAAACTAAAAAAGTGATATGAATATAATTCTCGAAAAAAACAATAAGTATATAAATTGACCATTCTAGTTATATTCATAATTAAAAAATAAATATAACATAAATATAAACATTCGCAAAAATGTTGGAGTCGGAAAATTGAAAATATTTATAGTTATAAAAAAATTGTGATAAATTTAGATGTTAATAAATAACGAACAAAATAGGTACCTGACGCAGGTACCTGACGAGCTGAAGTCTAAATTCGCTATTGTGGCGCATTGCAATCAACATCGACAAAGCCGAACGATAAACCGACTCGCAATTTCATGCATACGTCATCAGGAATGGTAGGAATCGTCGACAGTGAGCGTCACGTGCGACGTACGTTGGCACACGTCGATCGTCATCGAAGTACACGGAAATTCTCCCGTTGCTCCTATACGCCTACGAACGTGAATTCCGATGTAGAAGCCAGCGCCGGCATTTGGGAATTATACATCGATCGATCGATCGATCGACGATACCAATAAAGGCGATCGCAGCGAACAGCCTGTTCTACGGTATCATTCCAAAGAAACCTAACATTCTGATGTATAATACAGTTAGAGAAAGCGGAAATATGTGATAGAATAGAAATTTAATGCATCAAAATGTAATTTTGATTTTATCTTTAAAGTTAGCGGAAAAATAATTTTTAAACAATTAAGTTATGGATGCAAAAAAGTAATTGTTTATGTAACAATATATATTATTGTAACATTCGTGTATAAGTTTATAAAATAAAATGTGTAATTTGATTAGCTTAAAATATTAAATATCTCATATTTTTACTTTTTAATTAATATTCAATCAATTTCACTTTTTTGAGAAAAATTAAAATTTTTAAATTATTATATAATTAAATTGATATGGCTAATCGATTTTGATTCGTTTAAGCATGAAGTCGCAGCTTTTCGTTTGCCAAAATTGATAACACATAACACTCCTCGTAATGCTAAAAGTTCCGCCTTAGACACGAGGTTGCACGCTTCATTGCCCACATGCTTTCTCACGTGACGATCGCACCTGATCGAGCGTATCAATTTTCCAGCGAGTCATGACCCTGCTGAAGAACCCCGGCTGGGACCTGATTGTGGCACGAGAATCGATTGCGTGAAAAGACGAGGGGAAATGAAAAATGATGGTCGCGACAGCCGAATTTTGTTTTCTTACGCGCGTTCGGATTTTCAGCTTTAAAAACCGTTAAATATCGTACCGGAATAGCATCAATGATTCGATATTTACACACAATACCGGCAAAATTGGCTCCAAGACCGCACCCATCGACAGAAGACCCTTAGAGGAAAAACCTTTAGAGAAAGGCTCCGAACATCTCGCGCGCGTTTCTCAGACCAACACCCTCATATATGGAAACCATTTCAAACTACTAAGAAGTATGGCAAAGAACGTGAGTCTCGCAACAGCACCGCAATTTCCCGCTTTCTATTTTTCGTGACCTCAACTAATCACGTGCGGCATACGCATTTTCGTGACAATATGAGGCAATTTTTATCGATTATCGATTTTTCGACGATTCTTCGCGAGTGTTCCAATTTATTTACGATAACATGCGTGAGAGAATACAAACTAAAAGCGACGTTAATAATGACTAATATTGTGTATAAGAAGAGAATTAGAACTATTTTTTAGGTACGGTGCTTTGTTCGCATGAATACCTTAAGTATGCATGAGAGAGTTCATTAGAATTTAATTATCATGCCTGCATAGAGAATGCCGGCACGTTGTTAATTACTATTGTGACCCCTGCTACGATCCTAACGATACTATTAAGAATTAGATTTATCCCTCATAACGAGTTTGAATAATATGACGATATTATAAAAGCGCGGGCATTTTTAATTTTATAGCTGATATAAAAAATATAATATTCAAGATAATCATTTACTAATTATAATTAATTACAAGAAAATACTATTGCAAAACTTGCGTTTGTTTCTTGTCTTAACAAAAAAATATTTTTTATTTACTATTTATAATATATTTTATCAATATAAACTTATATCAATTTATATTTTTATACGAACAAATAATGCAATGTACATTATATTAAAAATTATAATATTTATAATAATTACAAGGTTTAAATTTTTCCCAATTTAATAAACTTAATTTTTAGTTATTAACTAGTTGTATAATTACATTTTATTAATTTAAATAATTTTGTAATTTAAATTTTACTATTACAATTAAACTTTTCTTGCATATATATATATATATATATATATATCTTGCATATATCTTGAATATTATATTCACGTTCTATATTTTCATCTCAGTAACAAAATCTTTCAATGATGATATGATAAATATATTTACAATAGTGTAAATATTAAAGCATAAAGATATATTATAATTATATAATATATTTAATAGAAATACATAATTTTTTAATTTATTTAACCCGTGGCATCATACTTTTTTGCATATCGGGGCAACGTTAAGTGCTACGAGTGTATGTTATAGCCGGTCTTATATGTTGGGTATCTAAATTTTATTTTAGCTTACGAAGCTTATGTCTCGTCCGGTCAGACAAACTCATAACATTTGGCGGTCCCCGCCGCTATAACATTTCGCTATTCCGTTGTCGACCACGCGCTCTTTAAGAATGCATCCGCATCGTAAAACGGGGTATGATCAAGCAACGACGTGACCCTCGCGAAAGATAGGCGACGTAATTCTTGGAGCACGCACACACGCATACACAAATACATATGTACCTATTGCACCGCGGTTATCAAATGCTGCGTGTTTCACCTACTCTCATTTTTATCTCTGTTTTTTTTTTTCGACGCGTAAATGGATTTTATGCTGTGGGTTCGTTGAACCAGCGTCACCGGCGCGATATACTTGATCGTTAAATGGGAAATACCCGGTGACCATGCAACGTAATGAAGACTGCGCATATATGTTCGTTTTCTCTCTTTTTCCTTCTATTTCTATACAGTATAACGTGATATCTAGTGGACGTTCCGTAACATTCATGTGCGTGATACAAAATGTAGAGACTTGCAAAATAGATTAGATCGAAGATACGCCGAGAGAGATAATCGTTCTTCGAAATAAGTCCATTTCTACGGATTGTCTTGGAATCGGTTGTACCAACAATTAATTTTTTAAGATGCATGTATTCATTGCATTAAAAATTGTGCAAATGCAAATCTGAATATAGTCCTGTAAATTTTATTTTATTTAACCTTCATAATTATAATAAAATCTAAAAAATTATTAAAAGAAAATTAACAAAACCATGCTAATACATTTTTATGTCTAAAAATACTTTTCTATATCTGCAAATTTGTGCATTAAATTAAGAGTTTTAATTATAGAAATTTTAACTTTTTACTTCCTTGTTTACTTCGAGAATGAAATAATTATCCATAAGTACATTTTTGCTTTTATTTATTTTACGGTAATAATGAAGGTACTATTAATATAATTTGATATTCATCCTTTCAATTAATTTAAAATAATTATTTTTGTTTTTCTGTATACTTGCAGCTAAATTTAGCTTACTATTATATATTGTTGGTGCAATCAGTCCTTAATTATCATAATCCTATTATTTTAAAATAACCTACATCGTTACCTTATCACCAATGTAATATATTTATTTACTTTTTAATTCTTTATAGACAAGATTTAGCAGATAACATAAAAACTTTTTTTATTGTATTAGTAATAGAAATTAATATATATAAATATTTCTCTAATTTCTTCAATATTTATAAAAAAAGATTATTTTTCTACACATAATTTTCCAAATAATTTTCTTTGACTAATAGAACTGTTTAATTAAAAAGTAAATAATTATGCAGCAATATATTACTTTGAAATCGTATTAATCCAGAGAGAGTTAGTCATTCTATTTGTTTCTAATTTGTAAATTTTTCTTAGCAAATTTTACTCACCGGTTGTTGTAACGCTGACACCCGACGTTGTAATCCTTCTTCCAAGTCATTTTATTTGTTTTCTAATTTGTGAACTTTTCCTTGGCAAATTTTACTCATCGGTTGTTGTAACGCTAACACCTGACGTTGTAATCTTTCTTCCAAGTCCTAAACAATATACAATTAATTATTCTTTCTTATTACAACAAAATTAGATTTCAAATAATGTGATGTATTTGAAGAATATACATCTATAAAAATATATCTTTTCTTATATACAATAAATGAATTTATTCACCATTAATTATGTATCGCCTAAGAACTAATTGTAAGATGGATGATCCGTTGTCGTCAAACGTATTGTCTTCAAAGGCATTCACTCACTAATACGAATCGGTTAGAAAAACACGGCACGCTCACGATTATGGGTACTGATAATACCGGTGTGCATGATTTGACGAGTAAAATGCGGAAAATACGCGCTTTTAAACGATGCAAACTGTGCGAGCACGGCAGCGAAATTTACTACGCGACTACTGACCGCGAGCGTGAATCGCGTCTCGTGAGATAACAGCTAATTACGATCGCGCGCACTTGTTAACACGCTACGACATACGCCCGGCATTAGAATCGCACTTCCGATACTTTTTCACTCGCGAAACACACTTCTACACAAGTAAAATACACAATTTTATACGAGACGTGATGCGACGCAACCGACTTTCGTGAAGCAATAGAAAATGGACGCTCAGCAATTTCACGTCATAGCGTAATTGGCGCGAACATAGATTATATTGTTTCAAGAGAGGCAACAATTTTTTAAATAAGTACATTTCTTATATCTCTTTTAAGCCAAGTACATATTAAAATATCAAAGACTGAATGACTTATTAATAAAGTTTAAAAATAGTCAAGTGTTTTGCATATTTTGTTTCAAATTATGTAACGTTTATGAAACATTTGTTGTTTTATAAATGTGCTGTTATACTTTCTGCGTTTCAAGTGGAGTTGATATATAATTAAGCATTAGAAAAAGAAAGGAGAGAGAGAGAAAGAAAATACATAAATTTCAAGGAACAGAATTCCTATTTAAATCAAAGAATTAAATAATTAATTAGAAATAAATTTATTACTGTATTATTTATTAGGAATAAAGTTAAATGCAACAACTATATTAGTTGTAGAATAACTATAAAATACTCCTTGATTAAAGCACATCCAAAATTTTTGTTATTTCTAAATACGTGCAAAATTTGCTTTTATGAAAAAATATGATTAAAAGCACAACGTTTTTTTTTAAGAAATACGAGAAATTAAAAAATAACTGTACTAATAACAATCAAATTGTCCGGAAATAGCATGACACAATAGGACGACAAATATTGATTTGTATATCATGGAAATGTGGTTAACTATTGTTCCGTATATTTAATTAGCGTATAACGATCTTGTTGACACTTCTGATGCGCGTAATTATCGGTAAACGCGATTAATGTAGTGTGCAATTAAAGTCGTCAATGCATGATATAAGTATGTGAAATATTAATTAGACATAGTTACTTATGCATAATGCGTTAGGTTATATAGGTTCGATTAGGTTAAATTAGCACGTGAACGCTAATTACGCTATAACAATCATCGCGTACTTTCGTTACATTTGTTAACTTTAGAATTATGTTAAAGATTCGAAACTAAATAAAGTTTTGTTCAAAAAATATATAAAGCAAAGAAAAAGTACATATAATGTTTAAAGGTCTTTTTTCATGAGTTATAAAATAATTGAAAACAATTTCTCATGAATCTATCTCAATATTTAAATAGAATTTCACAATACTCGGTTGTTTAATATTGAAAATTAAAAAAGAAACAAATGGAATTGAAGGAATTAGCTAAAATTTTACTAAAGAAATGTCGATCGACCTTAAATTGCTCAAAGAATCTGTGAATATATAATGCTTGAATGTGTACTCTTTTGGATATAAATATGTATATACCTACAAGATACCTACACAGTAGAATTTGTGATACCGTAAAGTAGGCAAATATAGTGATTTCTCGTATAAAAATAGTTTGTGTATCACGTTACAAACCAAGTAATTTCACGAAGTGTACAGAACGCGTTCGTCAGTTGAACTGATCATAACCGCCACTGCCACTACAATAATAAGATACGATATGCTCCACCCTTGTATCTGTGCGATATACGATAGACAAGGATACACTGCGTGAAAACATTGTGAGCCACTTCTCAGAAACGCGTGTAAACAACGTCTGTCGCGCGAGCGTTTTGCTTATTTTAGAGTTCTTAAAATTTAAGTTTTAAAGAATTATATATCTTTTAATATAGATTAGATAGAATATATCTTTGAATGCTCCTTGATGAGATAAATTTAAAAACTGTAATAAGATAAATATTTTTACATACTGTAAAATGTTATAAATAATATTGTCGATGATTAAAAATACATCGATTTTGCGCATTCAACTTTATGTCGAGACATGTATATCATATCTAAATATTCGTGCATTAATGATTCTTGACGACAAATTAAAAACTATATTTTTATTGATTAATTTATTTATTATATAAGCTAGTATATCTGTTTAATATTTAATTTTTTTACACAAAATAAAACATTTGAAAATATCAAGTTATGCAGCACAACTCTGAGATGTGCTATTATTTAGGCATAAATTGTTTAGAGTTGTAAAAAAATTTTTATAACTTCGTGTGTTGGCATTCTTGTAGGCAAGTATCCTTGAGAATATTTGACTGTAGTAGTAGTAGTAGTGATTAATTTTGGCACCAGAAGGCGCTGCCTTTCTTTACGACCATAATATTCGACTTTGATTGGCAAATTTATTTACTGCCTAGGATTACGTTTTAATATTCATTGTCAGTACTGACAATCTAGTTTATATTACTAGAGATTTTCAACAATGCCACTGCATTTTAGAACACAGCCTAAATCTTACGCGACATCAGTGTGAACTTTTTTTCGCATCGGCGCAGGCGCAACGCATTGATATAGCTCAAAGATGACTTGCACATTTTTCATTTGGCCAAGATGGACGTCACGGGCGAACGATTATCACGAGTGTCGGCAGGATTTCGGGTAATATTAATTAAAAGATACTTGAGAGTAATAAGATTGCTTGGTTTTACTGCTGAGTTGCATTCGCGATCGGCGCGTCTATAGAATACATCTACCGCATTCATGCATTCGTCGTCTCGTACGCGACGATGTGAAATTGCTTCCGCATACACCAAAACTTCTAGTCGTTTTATCAAAGTCGGTTAAATTGCATCGTGGTGAGATTTAATCACGCTTTTTACTCCTTCAAAATGAATTTCGCGTACGAAAAAACGTCGGCAATGCAAATCTAGTATTGGGCGTGTCGTAGCGCGTTAATATGTGTATGTCGCGATTAGCTATTACGAGATGCAATTGACGCCAATAATGATTGCACGGTACTTACAATATGGCGATAGTTATTTTATTTCGAATTGGCTCGGTCAAAAATGGCAATAGAATTGATAGTGCCGCGTGAAATGGTGTTGTTTACTTGCTCAAAGAGTGAGTCTGATGAGTCAAAATTTGTCGGTAGTGCGAATTTAGTATCGGGCGATTATCGTGGTACGTAATAAATGTGCGCAACCGTAATTAATGGTACTTTTACGCGATGTGCGGTCGGGAGTCGCGTAATAAAATGTACCTACCGTGTTCACGTTGTGTTGATCAAGAATTGTGGTGAAATCACACTGTATTTTTCATACATTTTTTGCGCGTTAAATCGCACATATAAATGTGCATCAGGAGAATTGTGTAGTGTAATGTGTGTGATCGTAATCAGTTGATTTTTTTAATTGTATTTTTTTATTGTATCCGCGAGTGAGTGTTTTTCAATAAAGTCGAAGCCAAGACAAATTCAACACAACGACGGTGATTCAACGACGGTTATGGCAATATAGCAACTGGTGAGTGAATTAATTTAATATTTTTTCGTATTTTAATATTATTTATGAATGCAAGACATTTTGCTGTGTAGTAATTACATTTGGAGAATATTGTACTTTTACAAATTATATAAACATTTGACTTTTGATTTAATATGATATTAAAATTATTTTTGGCATTTAAATTGGTAATTTTATTTATGATAAGACTAACTTGGAATTTTCTTAACTTATTGTTTTTATATTTTTGTTTAATATATTTTAAACGGTGTATAAAAATAGCATAAATTAAATTTTATATCAAATTTTATTTTTTTTATGAAAATACATAAATCTTGATTTTTGTAGGAATTTTGAAAGATATGGCAGCTTGACAGTGCAGTGGGTAAGTCAATATTTTTTTATTGTGATTTGTAGATATGTAGATAGATTGTAAATATGTAAATATGCAAATGATTATTTATTTGCGTGATTTGACATCAATGCATTGCAACTAAATTTTTATATACAGAAATCATTACGACGATTGTTAGCAATGAAAAAATAATCGAAAATAATATTGTCGTAATTGTGATTATATACTTCTATTCTCATTTTTTTATAAAATAAAATCAATTAAAATTATAACTTCAATAAATTTGTAAAATTATCTAAATGTTACACATTGTTAGATTATGATTATGATTGATTATGAGTACATAAAATTTTTACGAACACAAATTCCATAGACTTATGTTATCGAGTCTTATTCTTGCTCCCCGCGGTCCGAATAATCGAGTACCAGGATAACGAGAAATCAATAGAACCTATATAACATAGCACCGCTTATCCCTTGACGAAATTCGCCCGACCGTACATTAATCCTCGCATTAGGAAATAAATTTTAAAGAATTGTCAAGTCTTTACATAATCTTGTACTCAATATACATATTTCATACGTGTATAAATAAAATATTGCTTTTGTATGTATTATTATAAATTCTGTATTATTTTAATAATATAAAAAAATATCGAAAATAATTAAGAATCGATTATTAATTTATTTTTAAAATAATGATTCTAAAAATTAGAATTTATTTTAATAACATTTTAATAAAAATCTAAATTTTGATTTTTTTAAAAATTAATTCTAGATTTAAATTTTAATAAATTTATCAATTTAAGAAAACAAAAATAACGTTTTGAAATTACAATACAATGTTGTGAATTTATAAATTTTTTAAATATATATAGCTACCTGTGCATGTATAAATTTTAATCTCTCCCGAGAGAAAAGTACTAAAAGGGTTAATTCATGTTCGCGAAAAACGCGGATCGCGTGCGAGACAGGGCAGTAATGGTAATCCTTTGATCTTTCAATTCCGCTGCGTTTTATCAGCGACAAGATGAACCGAAAACGAGAAAGAGATGGCGGGCGGATTACTCTAGGGAGACGGTAAGAATATTTTAGCTCGCGAATGTGCGGTTCCGCGTTGCAGGATACGCGCGTGACGTTAATTCGGCTTTCAAGCTATTATCTGTGCTAGCCCGACACAACTGCACACCAAAATGGGCTCTGTGACATTCCCGTAATGTCTTCCCGCGCATTTGTAATCTGAATCTTACGATCGTAACACTGGCGATGTTTATAGGGAACTCGTGTACTTCGAAATTGAAGCATTTGTTACGAGGTAGAAGACGTTTCTACAGCGCGATCGGACTTCTGTGAAGTTGGCCCCCCATTTTTCAAAATTGAAAAAAATGATTAGAGTTCTGGATGCCCCCCGATTTTTCAAATGGTGTTTTCTTTACTTTAAATGGCAGAACTCTTTCTAAAATGGTCTGAGAACTCTAGAACTCCTCGGGGGGCATCCAGAACTCTAATCATTTTTTTCAATTTTGAAAAATGGGGGGCCAACTTCACAGAGGTCGCGATCGGTGGTTTCAAGTCTGAACGATGCACAAAATTAATGTCACAATAAAGTATTTATTACATGACTGATAGGATGAGTTAAAGTGAATGCGCTGATAAAAAAAGAAAAATAATAAATTTAAAAAATTAATAATAATATAAAATCTTACAATATATTTATTTATTACACAGCAATGATATTAATTATATGCATATTTTATCTTATATTTTCAATCTAATTTTCTATTCATATAACAACAAAAATATAAAATTTAATGTGAGAGAAATAAATAAAAAGATTTTACATTGTTTATAAATTTTAAATGCTAAAAAGCTGACACAATTTATAACAGTCATTAAAAATTTGTTTGCGAATTATTTATTTTGACTTTGAAATGAGAATTAACAATGCAATTTTTAATTGAGATTTAATTCGTGTATCGAATACACATGTATCACGCGAATTTGTATTATATTTTTATCAAACTTTTCACATTACAATTATTACCTTGCTATATGAATTTTATTTCGATTAAACTGCTGATACAATAGCTGCTGATAATTAAAAAATATATTGAAGTTTGACCGTTTTCATTTTCATACATTCGTTTAAAGCTTTTTTGGTAATAGAATTTCTTTTCGATGTATGTGCGCGTTATGAGACTTGCAAACGGTTAAAGGATTTATCTAAAATCCTCTAACGTTCTTAGAAAGTTCGTAACTCATTTTATTCACGTTACGAGCGCTCTCGGCCAAACTCAAAGAATCATCTCGGATTGTGGTCGGCAAACTAGTCAGACAGTAAGAATCAATGCTCGTAAATTTGGCGGGTTTATCGCGGCGAATGGTTGGCCATAATTCACTTGCTCTAAGTCGGTGGGTTGGAGTGACGTAACAGGATGTTTTATCATACCGCCGTATTCCAGGAACATTGACTCATAGCGCGATAACAATCCTGATAGTGAGCGAACGTTGTCAAAATAATATTTCAAAATTAATGATAGTAAACTGTTATATATTTTCTTGAGAAATTAGAAGAATTTAAATTATGCCTGTAAGAAGAATAATTTAATTAAATTATTATATGAAACAAAAGATTTTTTATCATATAAGAATGAGAAAAATACAGCCTATTAATATTGATTGATAAAGTTTTCGTGAAGTATTGTTATCAGAATACACCGCAACAGTCGTTGAAAGTCTTGTCAGGTACAAAGGGATCAATGGATAAGAACTTGGGAAAGGGATTGAACGCTCAGACGGACTATCGTGCCTCGAAATTATTTGGTTTGGTTGCTTTTGTTATCCTATCGCGAGTATACACAAGCGTTTTAGTACAGTGAGCGAATACACACTGCAACCAAGTCCCAGAATGTGGCTGTGTATACCTGCGACGAATGGTTGGTTTCTAGGAGTTAATTCATGCCTTCTATGCTGGCTAGACCAGCTGGCGCGATAGGTTGCTCTTTGTAACAATCCAGACGTTTTCCAGCAACACCCGGTCGCGGCATAAGGTTAATGGAACTTCCAAGAGTCGAACTATTGGCCCGTCGAAACACGGCGGCGCTTTCAATAAATGAACAGCACCTTTGTGCCTCATGAAATGCCCATTAATGTGTCACTATCTTATTCGCGTAGTCATCTGTTTAATAAATTTATTTTCAGATTTTGTTTGAAACTTAAATACAATTGCTTTTCTATTAGAATTTTTTCTTCCAAATGTTTAAGAAAAAGTATTAAAATTTTAGTTAAGCTTTTTCCGATTTATACAACAATGTAGAATAAATGTAACTGTGATTTTATTTTTTTACTTTGTTGAAGAGATCATAAAATGATTATTTGTTTTTTGAAATAGTAAAATGTTTTATAAGAGAAAATCTCCACTAACGAGATTAGTTATTTTGTAACGTACGTATTATTTACTTTTGTTATTTAAAATAATAAATAAATGATAAATTATTTATCTTAATGTCACTTTGCCGATGGCCGATGCCCCTCAATAGTCCATCAATGACTGCTCCTGATGGAACTTACTTGTGGAAATATAATTATCAGCAATAAGCACGCTAGCAGTGATTATCAAAATATATCACGCGTTTCAACACTACGATAAAAGAATAACTTGGAAAAGCAATTGTACAGAACTATGATTATATTTTTTGTATCTTATTTTTGTAAACTTATTAGCGTCGTCTAAGATAAGAACTACTTCCGCTGCATTAAAAGTCTACATTTTCGAATAAATTGTACAAAAGATCTGAATTATTCAAACTGCATGATCACGTGAAAGCACTCTTCAAGCATTAGTACATAATAGATCACTTGACTTATTAAAATACTTATAATTAAAATTACAAATTAAAATAAGAAAGTATGCAGATATACAATTACGAAAATACATTTGTTATAATGTAAGCAGGATTCTAAAGCTGTCTTGGGTGTGGTTGCATGTGTATGCTTAACGTACATAAGGATTAGCCTTTTTCGCAAACACATTTATTCTTTGAATAGATATTAAATATAGAAGTAGGTGTTTTGTACAATGAATAGGTTCGGACAGTTTCTCAGAAACAGACGAGATAATTAATAGGAGAATATGTCGGACACGATCGAAAAAACTTAATTGAAGAAGGTTCTACAGAAGGTAGTATTTGAAGAAATAGTTTCTCCGCCTTTTGTGCGATTTCACGCACAAATACGAATAGGATTTGACATGCAAATAATCATTTCACGTATATCGCAAAGGGATAATTATGTGAACTGACAAGATAGTTAAGTATTTCGAAATGGTATTAATAGATCTTGTAACAAATCATGCAGCTAGATCTGCTTCTAAATTTTTAAGATAGATGAAATAATTTAAATGTTGAAAACAGAGTTGTATCTTTGTGCTTTATGTTATAATATATAAAGCGTTTTATTATTTTGTATTATAATATTATCCTAAACAACAAATAAAATATTGATTCTCAACAATTATTATACATTTTCGAAATAAATATTTTATTAATTTACAAAAATGTTTATTTTTATATTTAAAAATTTACTTTTTTAAATTAATAATAAAATTTAAAAAAATAAAATTTTACAAAACGCTTCAAGTGTTCATTGTAACAATTATAGATAACAGTTGATAAAAAGATAATACATGTTAGTATCATTTTTATATCTAAAGAAGCTGATACTTTAGTTCAATTTAATTAAAAACGGGTAATGTCTTCGGGTAATCTATCAGTGCTTTCTGCAAATTCTCTATTTTCCTAATGCTTAAATTAAAATCTTGAAAATCAGGCCTCTGTCATGTCAAGAATCGGTCAAGGCTTAGCAATCCGTGAAAATAGCGAAAATCACACCATAGGTAATCCATCATCTTGACATGTCAGACCGCATAGCTGAAATATGACGCTTTTTGCCTCAAATTAATTTTCTTCATTTCTGACATCAAGCGGATTGTCAGACAGAAACATTTTGGTTTCAAAAACATTAAAATCAAA